TTTGGGGCTTTAGACTGAGACCCAGTTCGGTTTGACTGCATCATTTCGTTGTAGGTCTCCTCCATGGTGCACACTCGGTTGCGCATGTCATCCAATTCCCGCTGGAGGGTAGCGAGAACTTTAGGGTCCGCAGTTGGAGCAGGCCTCCGGGAAGTCTTCTTCGAGATCCCACCTCGACCTCGGTTGGTCTTAGCGGGTCTCGGATGAGTAGGAGGCAAGATCGTATTCGCGTGTTGGGTAGACCTCCGAGGTCGATCTACCTCTTGCCCTGCCCGCGCCTGATCCTCAACCAGTTTGGCATCAACCTCACGTTGTGCCCCATTGTTCGCATTCAGAGCCCTCCGTTTAGTGGTGTTTGTAGAATCAACTGGATGAACCATCTCAGATCAGACTGTTTTAGTTTTTGGGACAACTTGTAATGTCCTTTCTACAGATCAACTGTAAGTTGTTCTTTCAGATCTTCCTTTAGTGGCGGATCTTCCTCCCCAAACAGAGAGGGAGATAAAAAATTTAGTGGGAGAATGTGAGAGATGAAGAAATAGAGACATGCATGGAGTGAGAATGAATGAGATGAATAAAAGAGAGAAATTGGTGGGAAGAGGGAGAATGTAAGAGAGAGAACGAGAAATTGGAGTGGCGGCCTCGATTCGAGTGGGAGTGTGATGTGTCTGGAAACTTGAGATCTTAAATGGAACTGCTTCTATGGCATGAATCCACGGCCTTCCAAGTGAGCCACTGACTCCAACTACCGTCCATGTACAATTCCAAACTGCTAGCCCAAACTAGCTGGGATTTTTAGGGTCACCTCGCAGCCCTTTCCTCCAATCGAGTTGCAGTTGGCCTTGAGAATTGAATTCTAAACCGGCGTGGCGCTGCTGGACAGCAAAAAAGGAATCCTTCCAGTAGTATAGGCCATTTACCACATTTCATCAAATGGCAAAATAACTAGTTCTAGTAGGCATGAAGGAGCTAAATGAGAGACCCTAGCTCGGAGGGTTACTCGAATCTTTCGTTTGTTCTTTCAAGAACCCTTTGTAGAGCTTTCGGATGTCCTTCTCCTGTCTTGGATTTGAAAAGTATATCGTCGACGTACACCTCAACGAAAGAGCAAGAAAGAGACAGTGATTGCTCGCTCCAGAAAAAAGATACTTTCGAGAAACGATGAGCACGACTGAAGTAGCTATACATACAAACCAGAGGCTTTTCCTTTCAAATGACAACAACTTGGTGTGAGTTGTAAGGAGTCTTGGTCTCGAGTCGAGCGCCCCAAGTGCCGAAGAGCCGACATCGAGGTGCCAAACCTTCCTGTCGATGTGAGCTCATGGGGAAGATCAGCCTGTTATCCCTCACAGCTTTGAAAGAGGGTTTACAACCAACTTTACATTGAATGGGAAGGTTACGTTGGAGGGTGGAGAGAGCGAATGAAAGAAAAAAGGGGAGTGTGAGAGATTTATTAAAAAAAACATTTTTTCTTACAAAAAAAACACATTTTTGAATTATTTACTCAATTTTCATTGATTGACTCAAGGGGAGATGCCCAAAAATTTTGGATGTACGGAATTTAAGATAGCCACGTTCGTTTTGATCCAAAATTTAAAAAGACATTTGGGAATATGTGGATAACCACGTTTGTTTGCAGGATTTATTCATGAGAATCTTGTTAATTAATCTATGTAATGTTCAAAAAATGCTCTTATGAATGTTGATATAATTTATATATTTATTTAATATAATTTGAATTTATATTGGATTTCTTTTTATTAATTTAGTATGTTGTTATTTATACATTATTTTTTACCACAAATTAATTCATATTAATATAATATTTCTTAGAAAAATATTAAATATAAATTTTACTTTCAAATTTAATGTTTTTTAAAAAAAAGATAATTATACATTCTGGACACGTGGCGACTTTTCATTTGTAGAGGGAATATGACCGTTGCGGAAGACGTTTCGATCTGCCAGGTTGTCGGAGCACTTAAGTATTCCGCCGTTGCGTATCTCGAGAAGATCCTAGCCGCTCGTTAATTACACGTGTACGGCGCAGAGACTTTTTCGATTAGTTATAAATAGTCCCGAGATTTCAGGTCAAACCTCATGTTTCCTGAATTTCTGGAGTTAGATCTGAAACCAGCTCGAACCTTCCGTAAGTCAGTCATTCTTGTTTACTTCTTTTTCGAATATGGTGGTTTTTTTTCTTCCCCTTCTAGTAGTGATAGCCTAGGTAGTGCGGGTCGTACCATAAGTAGTTCGCCCCCAAAACCAAGTGATTCTGGGGAGGGCTTAGCTCATTGGTTAGAGTCCAAGCTGGAAGAAATAGAGAACTTTAGGTTCTCAGATGATGGAGAGGATAGTGATACTTCCACCTCGGACCAGGGTCTGAAGTACCCTTCAAAGATGCCCGAGCACTATCTCGGACCCCTCCGTAGGGGGTTTAAAATTCCGAACGATATCCTTCTTAGGATACCCGAGGAAGGGGAAAGAGCTGACAATCCCCCAGAGGGATGGGTCACTCTTTATTTAAAGATGCTTGCAGACTTCCCCTTCATCCTTTTGCTCAGGAGTTCCTGAATCGAACTGGACTAGCTCCTGCTCAAGTGGCCCCCAATGGGTGGGGTGTCATTTTTGCTTTAGCTATTCTTTTTTGGTTGCGAGCTCGGGACGAGGATGAGGCCGAGCTACTAAGCGTTGATCAACTTCTTGGGTGTTTTGAGTCTAAGAGGATAGCTAAAAAACCAGGTCGGTATTATATGTGCGCGAGGAAGGGCGCGGGTGGCATAGTCAAGGGGCCGACCTCCATCAAAGGATGGGTAGGTAAGTGGTTCTTTGCCTCAGGGGAATGGCTGGCAAAGGACGAGTCAGGTCGTCCCTTCTTTGACGTGGTTGTTAGGTTTGGGAATCTAGGTATGAGGCCGTTGCGTTTACCCCTTTGAATTTTTCTATTCTTCCTTTTTCATGTCTAACTGGAATCTTTTTTTGTCTTGTGCAGTGTCGATTAAATCGATTCCCGAGCTTGCTCAAGCCACCTTCGATACCCTCAAATACTACAAAGATCACTTCCCTAGGGGCCGGAAGATCGGAACCTTGGTCACCGACAAGCTACTCTTGGAGTCGGGGCTACTAGACTACAACCCTCTGGTTCGACCAGTTGAAGCTTCAAGGCCGAACTCCGAGCTCGGTAAGCCGTGTTCGATCTCGACTTCAATCTTAACTTTCCTTTGATCTCAAACTTTATACTTGTTTATTTTGCAGCAATGGTGTGCGGATTCACTGGAAGTGTGAAACGCAAGTCCAAGGGTCGTGCTCATGCCCTCAAGACCGTGGTGGGTACTGAACCGGTGACGCCAACGGTGCCACGGACTGAGGCCCATGGTAACTCTGGGCCATCTTTTGCAGTCCTCACCCCCGTGATCGAGCTAGACTTATCTGGAGATCGATCTAGAGAGAAGCGTCCAAGGGAGGAGTCCGAGGCGCTTGACGTATCTCCCCTGAACGAGGTGAAGGAAGAATCTCCTTTGAGGAAAAGAAGAAAGAAGAAGAAGACTTCCTCCTCCTCGGAGGCTGGGGCTCGTGGGACTCTGCCTACGAGCCATGCTGATTTGGTGGATGACCCCAAAGCTCGGATGAGGGGAACATCCGATGTGAGAATGCTGTTCAGGATGGAACCGTCAAGCTCTGGGGTGAAGGACCGGGTATCCCGCATCTCGGCCACGTGATTGGACCGCTGTCTGAGGAGAGCATCCAAGTTCGTGGGTGATCCCGGGTCCGTATTGCATAGGACTATTGACAACACTGCCGATGTAAGACCTGCTTTTGTGCCTTTTTTTACCATTTTTTACTTTCTCAATTCTCAGCTTGGTCTAACCATCGTGCTCTTTGATTTTCGCAGGCGTTTGTCGCTTCCATTCATTCAGCGGTTATGATCAAAGTCGAACTGGATGGAAGAGAGGTTTTGGCAGCGAGGGAGAAGGAGAACTCCTCTGCTGCCTTAGAGGCTGCCACCACGCTGAAGGGCGAGCTGCTAAAGGCCCGGGGCGAGGTGGATATTTTAAGGGCCGAGGTGGATGCCAAGGTCAAGCTTCTGAAGAAGGAGGGTGAGAAACACAAGGCCCACCTCCGAGCAGCCCATGCTATCACCAAAGGGCTGGAGAAGGAGAAATTCCAACTCCTGAAGGAGAAAGACGACCTTGCTCAAGTCCTTGAGGAAAAGGATACCTCAATTGGGTGCCTTACGACCGAGCTCAAAGACCTGAAGGAGCGCCTTACCAATGGAACTCTGTTGGAGGAGTCGTTCAGGCAGCAGCCAGACTTCGATGGGTTTGCCAAAGACTTCAGCGATGCCGGCTTCAAGTTCCTGATGAAAGGCATTGCTGCCGACATGCCTCATCTTCAGATCGATCTCAGCGATCTCAAGAAGAAGTATTTTGAGAAGTGGGCTTCTGGGCCTAACGGTACTCCTGGCCCCCAATCACTGGTGGACAAGTACATCAGGGAGCTGGACTCTGACAACTCCGATGTGGAGGAAGAGGATGCTCCTAGCGAAGAGCCTAATGAGGTCGGCACGACGCAAGAGGAGGTTCCTTCTCAGCAGGGCGAATCCCAAGAGGTCAACCTTCTGGGCTCCTAGGGCGAGCTGTCCTGCCACCTCGGATGTAGCTGAGGCTTCTCTTTCTCTCTCTTTTTTTCTTTTTTTTTTTATATTTATTTTCCTTTGTAAGTCTTTGGGCAGAGCTGCAAGGTCTATAAGCCTTGGCTCTGTCCTCCAATCAATGAATTCTTTATTCCTTACTTTTTATTACGATTCTGCATCTAGCTCTGATTCTTTCTTCCATTACTTTTTCCTTAAACTTTTTAGACTTGCTTTTGTAAGCTAGAACGTATCTATGAATAATTTCCATCTCGCACCTCTTAACTCGTAAGTTTGAAGGATTGAGAGTGAGATAATTTTTCACATCGCACCCTTAAGGTTTGAATCTAAGAGTTTCTTTAATTGGCCTTTAATATTTCTCCTCGAACTCAGAAGTCCAGAAGATAATACTAAGCAACAACTTGAACTTCCTACATCGCACCTTTAACTTGAACGTTTAAAGGGTTGAATTTTTAGTCCATATTTAATATTCACATCGCACCTCGCACCCATGGGTTTAAGGGATTGAATTTGATCAATTTTTGGCTTTACCTTGCCGATCTTAAGTCTTATGGGAGTCTGTGGCCCCCATTTAATTTCTGATCGAACTCGGAATCACGAAATTAAATAACTTCGTTTATTAAATACTTCGTCCCTTGAAAATTTTTACAAGTCCATTTTAGGACTATTTTGACATCTCAAGGGTAATAGCGCTTCAAGTGCTCCGCGTTCCATGGATGCGCAAGCACTTGTCCTTCCAGGTCGGCCAGCATATACGTTCCGGGCCGGACTATGCCTTTAACCTCAAACGGTCCCTCCCAACTTGGGTCTAGGGTGCCCACATGACTCTGAATTTTCCTTAAGACCAAATGTCCAACTTGGAAGCTTCGAGGTCGAACTCGAGCATTGTAATGTTTGGTCATTCTGTTTTGATACTCTGCTAGGCGTAGCTGAGCCATTTCCCTTTTTTCTTCCAATAAGTCTAGGTTAAGGAGTAGCTCTTCTTCGTTCTTCGCTGGCTCGTACTGCTCTACTCTGTTTGTTGGTATGCCGATCTCAACTGGTACAATAGCTTCGGAGCCAAAGGCTAGCGAGAACGGAGTTTCACCAGTTGACTCTCTCGGGGTGGTCTGATACGACCATAATACTTCAGGTAGCTCCTCGGCCCATCTTCCCATTCTGGAATCCAATCTCAGCTTAAGTTCTCGCTTTATGATTTTGTTTACTGCTTCGACCTGCCCGTTGGCCTTCGGATGAGCAGGGGACGAGCTGAGATGACGTATTCCCAGGTTACTGCAAAAGTCCTTGAACTTTGCGTTATCAAACTGCTTTCCGTTGTCCGTCACAATAGCATTTGGTATACCAAAACGGCATACAACGTTTGCCCATATGAAAGATGTGACCCTAGACTCTGTGATGTGGGATAGTGCCTCGGCTTCGGCCCATTTGGTGAAGTAGTCCATAGCGACAACGGCGAACTTGGTTTGTCCTTTGCCTAGGGGAAAAGGACCTATGATATCTACCCCCCACTGCGCGAATGGCCATGGGGCCGAGATGGGGGTAAGCAGTTCGAGAGGTTGATGAATAATGTTTGCAAAGCGCTGGCAGTTGTCGCAGGTTTTCACAAATTGCCTTGCATCTTGTTCGATAGTGGGCCAATAGTACCCTTGTCGAACCACCTTGGCCGACAACGACCTGGCACCTGAGTCGTTTCCACACGCCCCTTCATAGATTTCTCTAAGAATGTAAAGGCCTTCTTCGGGAGTCACACACTTAAGCAGAGGCAGGGAGAAGCCACGTCGGTACAACGCTCCTTCTCGGAGTGTGAACCGAGCTGCTCTCCGTGCCATCTTCTTTTGCTCCTTCGGATCTTGCGGTGGATTTCCTTTGATGAACTCCACGATTGGGTCCACCCAAGAGGGTGATGGAGTGTCAACCTCCATTACATCTGGCTCCAAGATTGAAGGGCTGTCCAAGATCTCGACCGGGACTGATCTAGCCAGATCGGTCTCATATGCGGATGCCAATTTCGCTAAGGCATCCGCATTGAAGTTTTCAGATCTTGGAACTTGAATCACCTCGTAAGTCCCGAACTGGGCGAGGTGCGATCTGACCTTGCTCAGATATTTTTCCATTCGGGGGTCATTCGTTTGATACTCCTCCTTAATCTGATTTACAATTAACTGGGAGTCACTAAAGACCTTAACGTGGTTGGCCCCCAGTCTTTTGGCAACGCGCAGGCCTGCCAGGAGTGCTTCGTATTCGGCCTCATTGTTTGAAGTCCGAAAGTTGAATCGCAGAGCGTACTCAAATCGCTCGCCACCCTGGGCGAGCAAGAGAATTCCTGCCCCGCACCCCCTCTCATTGGAAGATCCATCAACGTAGATCGTCCATGAGAGGTCGGACTCGGTCGACTGGGACGGTGGGGTAAGCTCCACGATGAAGTCCGCCACTGCTTGCTCTTTTAACACGGTTCTTGGCCCGAACTGGATGTCGTACTCGCTCAATTCCAATGCCCACTTCACCAGACGCCCTGACGTTTCAGGCTTAAGGAAGATATTCTTCAGGGGCAAGTTTGTAAGTACTAGAATAGTGTGTGCCTGGAAGTACGGCCTAAGCTTTCGGGCCGATGTGACTAAAGCGAGGGCCAGCTTCTCCATTTGGGGATATCTGGTCTCGGCCTCAGTCATGGCCTTACTAGTGTAATAAACGGGACTTTGGCACGTGCCTTCCTACTTGACTAGGGCCGAGCTGACGGCGCTATCAGACACTGCCAGATACAAGTGAAGCTTCTCTCTTGGTACTGGCTTTGCGAGTAGATGTGTAGAACAGAGATAGTTTTTTAACTGCTCCAGTGCTTGCTCACACTCTACTGTCCATTCGAATGGTCCCTTCTTCCTAAAAACCTTGAAGAAAGGAAGGCAGTTGTCCGTTGATCTTGACACGAACCTATTCAAGGCTGCAATCCTGCCATTGAGGCACTGAAGCTGCTTCAGAGTCTTGGGTGCCTCCATCTCGAGCACGGCCTTTATCTTCTCTAGGTTAGCTTCGATCCCACGGTTGTTTACCATAAAACCAAGGAATTTTCTCGAGGAGACCCCAAAGGCACACTTGGTCGGATTGAGCTTCATTTGGTACTTGCGCAGTACCCCAAAGGCTTCGGTCAGATCGGAAAGATGCGACTTTGACTGCTTGCTCTTGACAAGCATGTCGTGCACATATACTTCCATATTCCGACCAATCTGCTTGGCGAACATTTTGTCCACCATCCTTTGGTAGGTCGCACCCGCATTCTTTAGGCCAAAAGGCATCACCTTGTAGCAGTACAGACCTTGGTTTGTTATGAACGCGGTATGATCTTGGTCTGGCAAGTGCATTTTAATTTGGTTGTATCCGGAGTAGGCATCCATGAAGGTGAGCAGCTCGTGCCCGGCTGTTGCATCCACGARCTGGTCGATCCTTGGCARRGGGAAGCAGYCTTTTGGGCATGCYTTATTYAAATTTGTGAAGTCCACRCACATTCTCCACTTCCCGTTTGATTTTTTAACTAACACAACATTAGAGAGCCACTCGGGATACATAATTTCTTTTATATATTCAGCCTTTAAAAGTTTGTTAACTTCCTCAACAATTACATCACTTCTCTCCTTATTTACAGGTCTTCTCTTTTGCTTTACAGGTCGGAATGATGGGTCTATGTTAAAGCGATACACCATGATCTTTGGGTCGATGCCTGGCATGTCCTCGTGAGACCATGCGAAGACGTTCGAGTTAGACCTGAGRAAGTTGACCAACTTCTCCCTGTCAGTGGCCCCCAGCTTAGTTCCTATGCTTACTTGTTTTTCAGGGCTAAGTAAAGGAACAAGCTCGAGCTCTTCTGTTGGCGGGGAGAACTGCCTTTTGCCTTCCTTAGGCAGGTCGGCCTCGGACTCTCGCAGCTTGTCGTGATTGGTTTGTTCTTCCAGGGCGGATACTTCCGACCCTTTAAGCGCGGATGCATAATTCCCGCGAGGTCTTTTGCTCACCTCGGACCGAGCGAACTCCATTCGGGGTTGAGTACTTCAAGACTTGATCCAGTGTAGAGGGGATGGCCCGGAATGAGTGAATGATGGGTCTCCCGAAGATGGCATTGTAGGCCGATCTGCCGTCAATAACCACGAACTCGGCCATCTGAGTTACTTGTGTACTATCTTGCCCAATCGTAACTGGCAAGTCGATACACCCTTTAGGGGAGACCGATTCTCCAGAGAATCCAACTAAGGGTGTTGGACTTCTCTTTAATTGTGACCTGGTCCACCCCAATGCTAAATATGTTGGGAGGGACAGGATGTTGGCAGATGCGCCTCCATCTACCAGTACTCTTCGAACCAAGACGTGATCAATGAGAGGAGCGATCACAAGTGCATCATTATGAGGCAAATGAACTCCCTCCAGGTCGGTATCGCCGAAGGTAATGGAACAAGTAGGCTTCTGCTCCCTAATGATGCATACCTCGCGCCTGGCCTCACGAGCTAGTTCTTTCCTTTTGTTTCCAGATTGGCCCCCACTAGGACCCCCGAATATTGTGTTGATGACCGCAGGTCGGTCATCTCGACGAGGTGGTGTCCTTGAACGCTTCCTCTCTTCTGTCTTCTCCACCGAGTTAGTCCTCGGCTTTCCTACGAACTTTTTGAAATAGCCATCTTGAATGAGATCTTAAATTTGGCGTTTCAGCTCCCAGCAATTCGTCGTGTTATGGCCGTGATAGCGATGAAAACGGCAATACTTATCCTTGTTACGCTTTCTGGGTCTCCTTGGAGCTTCTCAGGTCGCTTAAGGAGTTTTTCCATCCCGCTTTCCTCGATGTTCGTAAGTATCTCAGAAATGGGGATGGTAGTTGGAGTGTAACGCTCGTAAGGTCGGCTTCGATTATGGCCGATCTCCGACCGACGATACTCGGTTCTACTGCCAGAAGACGACGATCCCTTGTCCTTAGACTTAGAATCGGCCTTCCTCTTCTCTTGGCTTAGCTTCTTCTAGTCGATTTGCTTTTCAGGTCGGCCAGTTTTGGTTCGGAGGAGCTCTTGCCCGTCAATGACTTTCTTCGCCTTTTGCAGAACTTCAGCGAAGGTTGCTGAAGCCTCCTCTCCGAGCTTCACGGTGAGGGTCTCGTCGGCCAGGCCGGTGAGGAAGTAGCACATGGCCGAATCATCGGAGCAGTGTTCGACCTTCAGCTGCTCCTCTTGGAACCTCGTGACGTATTCTCTCAGCGTCTCCCCCTCCTTCTGCCTGATGGTGGCGAGGTGAGTCGCTATCTTTCTATCGTAATGACGAGAAGAGAATTTGCTAATGAATTCTTTCCTTAGCTGGGAGTAGGTCGAGATCGAACTGGCCGGCAGTCTCCGGTACCACAGGCGCGCGCTGACGATGAGAGCGATCTGGAAGGCGCGGCATTTTATCGCATCTGTTGCCGCTTGATAGTCCATGAGGCCCTCGAAGACCCCAACGTAATCCTTCGGGTTCTTAGACCCATCATAAGGTTTCATAGTGGGAGTTTTGAACTTTGGAGGAATTGGGGCCTCCAGGATGTCCGAGGTGAATGGCGATTCTCCCAAGTTGTCATCGTTAAACGAGCACTCTTTCTTCTCGCACCTGGCCTTGAGCGCCTCGACCTGCTCGTCGAACCTGTGCTTCATCAGGTCGAACTCTTCCCTGGTGATCACAGC